TCGGGAGCTGAGGCAGGAGAATCACGTGAACCCCGGAGGTGGAGGTTTCAGTGAGCTAAGACTGCACCATTGCACTCCAGCCTGGGTAACAAGAGTGAAATGGTCTCAAAAAAAATTTTTTTTCCCCATAGATCATGACATATTCTCCAGAGATACCTTTTTTTTTCTTTTTTTTTTGAGATGGAGTCTTGCTCCAACCTCCACCTCCCAAGTAGCAGGAATTAACAGGCACACGCACCATGGCTGGCTAATTTTTGTACCTGGGATTACAGACGTGGACCACCACACCTGGCAAATTTTTTTTGTATTTTTAGTAGAGACGGGGGTTTCACGATGTTGGCCAGGCTGGTCTCAAACCCCTGATCTCAGGTGATCCACCCACCTCGGCCTCCCAGAGTGCTCAGATTACAGGTGTGAGCCACCGTGCCTGGCCTGGCTAGAGTGCAGTGGCTCGATCTCTGCTCACTGCAACCTCTGCCCCCCAGGTTCAAGCAAATCTCATGCCTCAGTTTCTCAAGTAGCTAGAAGTACACGCAGGCACCACCAGTGGACTCAGCTAATTTTGGTATTTTTAGTAGAGATGAGGTTTCACCATGGTGCCCAGCTTGGTCTCAAAACTCCTGGCCTCAAATGATCCGCCTGCCTCAGCCTCCAAAAGTAGTGGGGTTACAGGCGTGAGCCACTGTGACTGCCCTATGTGTGTATGTGTATACATATACGTGTGTATGTGTATACATATATACACACACACACATATATATACATATATTTGGTTTTTTTTGAGATGGCATTTCACTCTTGTTGCCCAGGATGGAGTGCAATGGTGTCACCTCGGCTCACTGCAACCTCCACCTCCCGGGTTCAAGTGATTCTCCTGCCTCAGCCTCCTAAGTAGCTGAGATTACAGGCACCCGCCACCATGCCCGGCTAATGTTTTGTATTTAGTAGAGATAAGGTTTCTTCTTTTTTTTAAAAAAAAAAAGATGGGGTTTCACCATGATGGCCAGGCTGGTCTGGAACTCCTGACCTCAGGTGATCCACCCGCCTCGGCCTCCCAAAGTGCTGGGATTACAGGCTTGAGCCACCGCGCCCGGCCTGTATATTTTGTTTTTTATTTTATCTTATTTTTTGAGTCAGAGTCTCCCTTTGTTGCCTAGGTTGGAGTGCAGTGGTGCCATCTTGGCTCACTGCAGCCTTGACCTCCCAGGCTCAAGTGATCCTCCGACCTCAGCCTCCAGAGTAGCTGGGACTACAGGTGCGCTCCACCACAGCCAACTAATTTTTGTATCTTTTTGTAGAGATGGGGTTTCACCATGTTGGTCAAGCTGGTCTCAAACTCATGGCTCAGGCAACCCACCCACCTGGGCCTCCCAAAGTCCTCGGATTACAGGTATGAGACACCACGCCCTGCCTTAATAATTTTTTTTTTCTTTTTTTTTGAGACAGAGTTTCGCTCTTGTTACCCAGGCTGGAGTGCAATGGCGCGATCTCGGCTCACCGCAACCTCCGCCTCCTGGGCTCAGGCAATTCTCTTGCCTCAGCCTCCTGAGTAGCTGGGATTACAGGCACGCACCACCATGCCCAGCTGATTTTTGTATTTTTAGTAGAGATGGGGTTTCACCATGTTGACCAGGATGGTCTCGATCTCTTGACCTCGTGATCCACCCGCCTCGGCCTCCCAAAGTGCTGGGATTACAGGCTTGAGCCACCGCGCCCGGCCTAATAATATTTTTTAAATGAACTTTTCAGCCAGGCACGGTGGCTCACGTCTGTAATCCCAGCACTTTGGGAAGCTGGGGCAGGTGGATCACAAAGCCAGGAGTTCAAAACCAGCCTGACCAACATGGTGAAACCCTGTCTCTACTAAAAATACAAAAACTAGCCGGGCTTGGTGGCAGGGCTGGGCACCTGTAATCCCAGCTACCAAGGAGGCTGAGGCGGGAGACTCACTTGAACCCGGGAGGCGAAGGAGTTCAAGTGAACTGAATTCTGCCGCTGCACTCCAGCCTGGGTGAGGGAGTGAGACACTGTCTCAAAAAAAAACACCTTTTTTTTGGTTCCCTATAAAAGCAGACTTATGAGTAGAGCCAGGTGAGGAGTGGAGGAGGCTGGAACGTGCGTGGTAGGGCTGGGGCAGCAGATGGAGGAGGAAGCAAAGAGAAATGACCCCAGCAGGGTGCAGCCAGGGAGTGCACGGGAGCAGTGCTCAACAGAAGGGGTAGGGGTGAGGCTGGGGCACTGGTGGCCCAGGCTCAGGGCAGGGCCCCCCGCAGGAGTGAAACTAGGGTTCAGGGTGCATCCTCACAGTTCCAGCCTTGGACCCTGAAGGGAGAGGGCCTGTGTCGCCTGGAGGTCATGGGAGTGGGGCGTGACACCGCCTGGGGTTTCTCATCCAGCCGCCCCTTGGAGCTTGTGCTGCTGGTGGGGTGCTCCGCCCCAGCCAGGATTCCGGGAAAGACCGCTTGGTTTCTGGTTCCTGAGCCTCCCAGGGGCCTGGAGGGAGGAATATGTACCCAAAACAGCCTGAGCCAGCTGTGGAAATGGGAGCAGAGGTCTCCCTGTGCTGGG